GTCCCCTGAAGATTCTAATAATTAATACAAAAAAAATAACAATCCCGAATTGCACTCTTACTTACAAATGTGATGAAAATTCTAGAGAGGGCGCCCTGCCCCTTTACTATATTCTGTGTAAGCTCCTATACAGTACATATATAATTATTGGAAATCAACCCATTAATTTAAACATGACTACGAGGTTATTAAAACAGACAGGACCAATATTAGTTTAACAAACCCTATCACAATCACAGGTAAAATAATCACTCAACATTCTAGATATTATCCAACAGCGCCCTCTACAATTACTTGGTACTAAATTAATTATGTAATTTCTTTAAATTTCTTATAGAAAAATATTCAAATGACCTTCCTATTAAAATACACAAGTTGAGAGTCGCCTATTTGGGTGAACGGTTTTTTAATGCGTAACTGTTGTACAACCTTGAATAAAACAAGCAAACCACTAATTTTGTATCATCCCATCACAAAAAAAATATATAAGAAACTAAATAAAAATCCTCAAAACACAATATTTGCTACTTGAACTTGAAAGTTGACACATTACAGAGAGATTGATAAATAAGTCAATAAATAAGTAAACACATATATAATAATAGATAAATAATAACAATGTTAACAATTAGACAATCCACAAGCAACATTTTCCACACTGACAATTTCAAATACGTGAATCTTTTGGAATCAACACTTTGTGTAAACAGGAGAATACTTGCAGAATACAGAAGGAATTCTACAACACTTAGAGGTTTTAATCTTGACAATTGTGACCACAACAGTATATCATTAAAAGTAATGTCCATTCCCGAATTTTAAACCTACAATTTTGATTGTTTAATGTGAGTGCATTAAAAAGTTATTAAAATTGTCAATAAATTAATACTATTTAATAGTGTTAGGTTATTGCTTTAAAACATGAAAGGAAAAACTGCAGAATAAAACAAATTGAAATGATACAAATAGGTATTGCTTACTGTTTCTAAAATATTATTATGTAAAATCTAAGTTGGATAAAGCATTATTTTTCAATAATAATTATATACCTTCTTTTAATTTGTCACATACATTTCAAAGTTTATAATTAAATAGGTTATCTATTTCACATATTATTAATCACATTTACAAGTTGACAAGGCAGTCTGTAAATTGAAAAGGTAAAAAAGAAAATACATATATAATTGCTGTAGTCTAACAGATATATTTTAAACACAGCATTACCATATATTCTATTATATGATAAGAGTTTTCCTTTAAACATAATGAAATATCACCATCATCTGAGATTTCACAAAATACAAGAACAAATACTTCTATTAAAAATAAAATCTATTTAGCCAATCACTAAATGTACCCTATTGCAACAATAGCCGATTGCAAAGGTGTTTCATTCATCTACTCAGTAATACGTGGTACTCCTTTTGTAGTTTGTTTCTTCTTGAATTGACCAATAATGAAGTCATTTATTCAACTGATCTTAATTTAAAGAAAATCTAATATATCTAACTTAAATATTCACTACTTTTATATACTCTATAACTCAAATTATAAAAATATTTATCAATAAATTTCCTTAGTTCTTCCAATTTGAAATTTAAAATCGGCTTTTCATTAAAATGCTATCTGTGTTGTACTTCTATATTTGTTTGTACAGTTCAGTTTTGCAAGTCTTGCAGTTCTCTATTCAATTCTGGCCTCAATTACATTTCAAATTTTAAAAACTCATCCGAAAAACTTTAAAACATTACATCTTACAACCAATCAACCACAACTACGAACACAAAAATCTGCAAACTTAATGTAGGCCTATGTTACATTTATATCAATATAGTCATATTACATTTGTACACATATACATGTATATATATATATGTGTGTATATGTACATACTGTGATGAATATGTATTTACATGAATTAACAATTGAGGTGAGAAAAATAAAAAAATAAAAAAAAAACTAAGAGGAAGGTACAAAAACAAATAGGGTATTTAAAGCTTAATGCTGGGTTTGAGATGCATTCAATATTGAAACAGTAAATATGTGAATTTAATGAGTCAAGCAACACAGGGAGATTATGTGATATCATGTAATATAAATGTACAGCTGAGATTATTGCAGGCAAGTTGCTGGAATATATTTATATTCATAAAAAGAATAGTAAATATAGTGATATCAAAATGAAGAAAGTGACAATGCAACATGTTACATATAATAATTAATACTGCACTTTTTATGTATAACATGTATATATATATATATATATATATATATATATATATATTTATATACATACATGCATACATATATATACATATATATATATATATAATTTTATATGTATATAAGTGTGAAAGGTCTGATTTTAACTTTCAACCATGTACATCAAAAGCAAATTAATAATGCAAATATCCTAATTAATCATCTGTTGCCATAGTAATTTCACACAATCAATTTAATTGTATATTTTCTTAGCTATGAACAACAATCACGAAAGAGAGCATGAATTTAAGGCAAAGTGCACGACAACAAACTTTACCAAAGATAGACAGAATTTGTCCTTCAGTAACCTATGCTGTATACTACAAAAATATATTAAGGTTATGCTATGATATGATAATACAAACAAGTATAAATTATAAAAACAAGTATTCCAAAGGAGAGAAACAAAACAATATAACCTTTCATGGCTATTCCTAGTGGTCAAATAAGGCAAAGAGTTTCTTTGAAAATTATGCCAGTTTATCTGGAACTTAAATTTTAGAAAAATAAAATCTTTTTTTTTTGAACAGATTACAAACACATTTAAGGATGAAGAAAAATGGTAATTGAGATATAAGTTAGATAAAATAAAATATAACCAAAAACCCAATAAAAAAAAAACAAAACTTTTTAAACTAGACAAAGCAGACATACTATATCGGGAAATTATAATATCTCTTGGTTACATACACAGCTCTCTAACAACTTTATGACCCAAAGAGAAGGTGGTATTTTTACTGGGCCTATTTTCGTCTTTTTCTACGATCTATCAAGATTTGACAGATTCCAGATGTTCTTATTGTCAATAGCATAACATATCAAAACATTTTAAACCAGATTTTAACAGTTCAGTCCACGTTATATCTTGTCAATATGTAAAAATTTTTCAGCAACTTGGACGAAAAAACATTTTACAAATAAATATGGTTTAATCTTTCTTATGACATATATTGCACACATTCGATGGCTTTTACAAATGATTTGTATTTACCAATTTTTCGGTAACAGTCTCCAATCAACTTTCGCTAAAGCCACTTTCAGACAGAACTATGTTACCACAATATTGCGGGATTATCCCTGGCATTGCCATTTGTATAAAAAGCGAGAACCAACCGTAACCACAATAATGCGGTAACACAGCTTTCCATCTCAGACATAGTGATCGCCATTCAATTCCACCTAACTTTGTAACATAGCCCAAATAAAATTCTAACTTTAAGACTTTAAATTTGACAATGTAGGGCAAATATATGAGTATAGAAACTCATGCATATAATACATATTTATAGGTTCTGCATACATGTACATGAGACTTTAAAAAGTCTATAGTAATTTTTCCTGGGTATGGTTAACTGAAATAAAATGTTGAAAATTCTATGGTTACACTTTATATATTAATATTTAAAAAAAAATTATAGAGAAAAAATGTAAAATCGCCTGGAAATCTTGAATACATGCAAATATATCTAGATAAAGGTATTTTATTTAAATGTTTAAATTTTGAGAAATATTTTATTTTGAATAACAAGATCCTAACTATACCATATAACATACAATATCAGAAGGACTGCTACAGCGACAGTAATATGCCCCCAATCACACTCTAGGGATAAAAGTACATATACCTAATTTTTTATATATCAATTTTTCTTTTCATCTAGTACAGAATTTGGTCAATTGAAAATTAGCATCTCATGTTCTGATGCTTTTATCTTCAGTTGTTTCTTTTACTCAAAGCATGGCATCTTCAGCGATATCGGTGTTGGAACGGCCGAGCGAGAGGATCTTACGTAAACCCTGGAAGCCCTTTTTGGGAGGTGGTCCAACCAGCATTGGTGAGCTGTTTTTGTGGGTAATAGCAATCTGGAAAAAACAAAAGATAGCAGGAATTTAACAGTAAATTCATAGTGAAATAGTAAGTTTTTAATGATAAATTTCAGTAAAAGCTAAACAAATTAACTTTCTTACACTCTTAGTGGAGTGTGTAGGGTGTGCAAGAGAACAGGTCATTCAAGCTAGATCTTGCAAATACTGTATATGCCTGAAATCCTTGATGTGCAGTGAGACAATAGAATTGTACGGACATAATGATCATCACATTTACTTAAGACTGATATTTCCCAGCTGAATGATTACAAATGGTGGTAATAATAGCTAAGTAGCCCGTCATTTTTCAATGCCTTTTACAATGATAACATAACACAGTCTACTCTTTGCTAGGCTCAAACGCTATCACATCAATATTAGTCATTTCATCGGCTTCATATTCAACTTTATTTATCAAAGTCCCAATCATCAATTATTTTTATCCACTTTGTTATGGCTCAATTATGCGGGCTTACAAGAGCCAATGGCAAGATAAATCATGTTCTTTTCCACTCGGTGTTGTATCAGTCACGAATCTGCTGTTGGGCGTACAGACTAGAATCAACGCCAAAGGGCGCAAAGACTAGCATCGACGCCTCCGCGTCTTGAGGCAGCCAGATTTCTAGCTGAGTGGACTTTTTGCAGTACTGACATTAAGATTCATTCCTTTTACTTTATTTTATTAATCAAAGCTGAAATTTTATTTTACTTGGGAAGATTTTTATTGATGATTATGAACGATTCTCTAGGCTTTCATTTTAGAATGAAACAAAGATTTATAGAAACATTAAATATGATACTACTGATTTAATAATAATATAAGTACTCCTGAAGTAAATTATTTTCAATGAATAAATTTATCATATCAATAAAGATTGAATATTAATGATACGAAAGTACTAAATTGTATTATCCAAAATAAAAGTACATATATATATTTAAAGATGCATTACATATAATATCATCCTAGTAAGTATTACAAAATAGACGAAAGTAATTATATGTATTATTTTTAATTTTGTAATATAAATAATTGTATTAGTTATGATTTATTATATGTGTTAAGGTGGAAAACAGTAGTTACAAGCAGTCAACTATACCCCACATGTTCAATAGTACATAATGAGCCTTGCGTAATTATCCCATACACTAATGCTCATTCCGCGTTAGTGTTCTTGGGTGACGAGTTGTTCTACTACGTGAAGTTGCGCAGGCAATTAGCTTTACTTTGTGCAAAGGAATTGCTGCCTTAATGAGCGACCAAGTGCGGCACGGACACCAATCTATATGGTATTTACAAGTTAAGTGTTAGAATATTATTGTGTTAGCAGACAAGCTGCACATTAGAATGTTAGATTGGCATCTAACTGCAAAGAAGTCTAGCTCTTGGGATCTGCACGTTATCAAACCATAAATGCGCACAACACATCACGTCTATTTATCGTCTGTTATTCTAACACACATTTTACCATTTCCAACACAAAGGATAATTTATAGTTGATAACTTTGTCAAAAAAACCTTCTGTTTCTAACAGACAGAATATAGAATATAGGCTATTACTTCTTAATTCCAAATTGTCACGATTCACAGGTACGCTTAAGTTAACTGCAAACATTTGTTGGTCCAACAATGACGCCATAATAATATGCTACTTGATAATTTGGATTATAAATTTAAAACAAATAAAGATAAGAATAAAATAATATAATAATAATTTGTAACCATTCAATAATAATACAACAATTATTATTATAGTAGTAATTATGAATTTCAACCAATTTTTATACAGCTTTTTAAAAATTTGAAATATTTGTTACAAATTAATCATTAATGATGTAACAAAGTCATCAAGTAATTTAAATGTTTTTAAAAGCAACTTTAAGGCATCATTATTGTAAGATTAATTATCTTTTATTTTATGTACGTAAATGTGTAATTTTTTAGTTAAGTTTTTGTTGTCTAAAAATATTTTGTACCCAGGACCCCAAGGGAGACCAGTCTCTTTGACTGATTAGGCCACCCTGGTAAATTATTGAGAATAAATAAATAAATTAACAGTAATGGTATTCCTTAGAATAAGTTTATAAATCTAATTAAAAAGAAGCCCAACAAATTAAAAAAATATCAGAAACTTTAAACTCAATGTTAATCTTTTTGTTTTCAGTTTATCTGAAGAAAAAAAAAATTGTCCAAAACTTGAAATCCTGGTCAATAACTCTTTGCATTTGAACATCCACTCGACAAAGATTAAAAGTACTCCCCAAGGGGGATGGGGGAAAGGCATTGTTCAACAGCAACAATTATTGTAGACAAGATCAGCTTTTATTATTTTTCCATTGACTTGTGGAGAATGATGAGGTGTTATTTTGAATGATCAGAGTTTTGTAAAATACTTGCCTTTCAAGTATTGTAGCATGATTTTAGTGGCTGGTGTGGAGAATGAAGTACAGACCTGTTACAGCCATGCCCTAGATTAACAAAGGTTCATGGGTTTTACAGAAAAAAAAAAAAACAGACAATTGGCTGTATAAACTCCCTCTTGTGTTAATGTAGACAAGATAGACTCATTTTAACAGTTTTTTTTTTATTATTCGAAAGTATTCCATCACTTGAAATTGTTAAATCAGAGAGTTGAAGTTTAAAGGAAATTTTCAACATTTATATGTATTTCAGATAGTGGCAAAAAAGTTGTTCTGCCAGGAAAAAGAGGAATAAAAACAACAAATGTAAAAACTATATTAATAAACTATTTTTTTTAAAGGTTTGCATGGCAATATGTAATAACAATATATTTCTGACACAAATATTGTTCCAAGAAAAACCATGGGGTTAATCTGACTGTGTTTTATCAGGAAAATGAAAATCAAGATGCAAGTGTGGCATTAAATAATATACAAAGCACTCCCTTAACTACAGATACAATGGCTAAAAATAAAAATTAAAAAAAAGGAATGAAAAAAAAAACTGTTGTGCAATTTAACAAGTGGGGGAAAAAGTGGGTATTAAAAATGCTTTAAGTTAGGATCCCATATTTAATGGGGAAGCCATTTGGTCACCAAATTTCTTATGGAAGAGAAATAGTAGGAATAATGAATATGAGAAACGAAAAAGTGGAAGGAGCAGGAAGAAATTTTATTAGATAGGGGTGAAGACATACATAAGAGAATTACAGGTAATGGGGATAGGACTGCACAGAACCCAAGAGAAACATATACACAATAGTCATCCTATCAGACACAGGCAACAAGTAAAGACTATTTAGGAGACGAGACACACGACAATATTTATGTGGGCGAGGGTAGTAAAAAGTGAATATAAATATTATAATTATTGTTTAAATAGACTTGGTTTTAATCTTTACCAGATGGTCAATTTTTTAGCCATCTATCATTCTTCAAATACTTCAAAAATTGCAATAAACATTTGATTAAGTCACATTATTTCTACAATCCTTTATCCCCACGTTATAGAAAGAGTGGGTATTATACAGATCCACGTAATATATATGTGAGCGATTGGTGTTGGCAAATGTGGCTTGTGTGTGCTGTGCCGTATCGACGTTGATTAATGACTCCTAACCCGAAGACAATATCTCCTTCCTGCAAGATATATGTCTTATGCGTTCGCATAATGGATAAAGGCTGTTGATACATTCGACATGTTGCACGTCTGGTTTCTCGTCTACTGAATACCTGTACTTTCGCATTTCTTATTACGCAAGCTGTGTCATAAGCTGGATTGATTTGGCAAAGATTAAGTTTCGATAAAAATATATGTCATTTAAATAATTTCAATAAAATCATTCTTTTAAATAGATGTACTGCTTACAAATACGGAACAATACCCGAATTCATAGCACAGACCACATATGATTGATTTTAATATAATTAATGGTATGTTTTTCATCACTGGATGAAATAATCAGTTTGCTTCTTTACATACCAATTCTGACATTAATAACACCATACTTCATAACTTTTATAGCTTGTTTTGATTCTTTCGGCTGAATCATGTGCAGTCGTTCTGCAATTTATTTTAGAATCCAATTATTCTTCACGATATTACTCGTTTTTTTTTTAATAACTTGGATGTCAATTCAATTTAGACTGAGTACTTAATTGTTCACCAAAATTCTTCAAATTTCTTAAGTCATAAAAACAAAAAAGTTTATTGACAATGGATTAGCAAACTGCAGGCAAGGATACTCTAACAGAAAATAATATGAAATACACTTCATCATCCAATTGAGAAAAAAACTAAAAAAAAAAAAATAGAAAAAAAAATAATAGACTTTTTTTTGTAGGTAGTTAAGGAGACTTAACTGCCGTAGCACAGATCTTTAATGGATTACATAGCATTCAGGTCTTTACATTAAACAATATTTGAACAGATACATCAAAGTTTTTCATCAATAAGAAGAGAAATAGTAATTATTTTTGATGTATATCGACAAAATTTAGTAAAGAGGAAACTGAAGTTGATCCTACAGAAACAAGAGAAAACAGATGAGGGGGAAAAAAAGGGGAAAGGTGTAAACACGACTGATCATTGTGCAAGGAACAGATATACATCTAAGTCTACATGGATTATTTTGAAAGGTCGTTTTGCGAATTATTATCTCTTGTGCTGCAAAAGGGTGAAGGACGGGGTTGCAGTCACATTAGGTTGATGACATCCTCCATATATAAGTTCATCGAGAATCCAAAAGGTTAGAAAATGCGCGCAAAACAATCGAGGATACACAGAGCAAGCAATTCGAGTGAAATTACTCGCAGAATCAGACTGCAAGTTAATGACTCTAAAACATAAAGTATGGCACTCTTAAAAAATACATCCTTCAATTGTATCATTTGATTTAATAAACGAGTAAATGACGCTGCAAGTCTTTGTTGCATGTTCACTAGTCTCAAGTATATATATCATGATTACTCTCTTATAAATGCTATTGCTTCAAGAATTTGAGTAAATCTGGCAAAAGGTTGGCAACAAAGATTTCAATTGATATAGGATTTTCCTTAATGACTTCCAAAATATGATGTGCTTTACGAACAATAATACGATGATCAAAACATTTTATTTATCTACATCTGGTATCTAAATAATTGACTTAAGACACATAATCAATAAAATAATTTAGTTTCAATTGATTACAATAGTTCTTAACAAAAATATGTTGAAATCTGTAATAATATCTTAGTTGTCGTATACTTAGTTAAGTTTACTATACCACTTGAGTAAAGAATGTAAAAAATTATAAAACAAAAGTAACTAAAATGAAATAATTAAACCTAATGAAAATCTTCTGTAGCTCCTTTATATTTTCGATTTTGTTTAATATGAATGTTTAACAGATTTATATTAGATAGATAGATAGAAATCTTTCTTTATTCTGGACACTCAGTCAGTATTGTTACACTGTTCTTCCCTGAGGTCCAGGGTATTATCTTAAACTACATTTTATTACAAAATAAAATTAAAAGAAAAATGCATAAAAATATAAAAACAGTATATATA